CCCCCCCCCCCCCCCCCCCCCCCCCCCCCCGCCACAGCCTCGCTCCTGCCCCGCCCCCAGAAACACTCCTGCCATAAAATGCTGGGACTTCGGCTTCCAGTCACTTGTAATAGGGTCTTGCTAAGAAGCCCTGGAGGGCTCCAGATTACAGCTACCCAGGCCTAGTGTCACTTGGCCCCATCCCGGCTGGCTGCCCTCAGGAGCCCGGCGCTCCCGCTGGCCACCCACTCCGTACCCTGTAGTCGTAGGTGGCGTCGGGGTTCTCATCGCAGGCAATGACTTCGGGGGCCATCCAGTACGGGGTCCCGATAAAGGTGTTGCGCCTGCCCACAGTGCGGTCCAGTTGTGCGCTCACACCGAAATCCACTGGGAGACGTGAGGAGGGGTCAGCGAGGGAAGCCCCGTCACTCAGCTTGGAACCACTACATGGGTGACCGCGGCCGGCCGGCAGCGGCCGAGGCCCAGACCCTACGCAGAAACCTCAACATCCTCTCCCACGAGTCCAGGTCTCCTGGGTCTTGGGGCTCAGGAGGGACTCAATGCCCGACCTCCCCCAGACGGCTGTAGAGCCACTGCCCCTGCTCTCTGGACTTTCAGCCACGTGGGCGGGCACTGAGGACAGTACCTAGCTTGACCTCCGCGTTCTCCGTCAGCAGCACGTTCTGCCCCTTGATGTCCCGGTGGATCACCTTGTGGGCATGGAGATGGGCAAGACCCTGGGGCGGAACAGGGAAAATGAGCGGGAGGACTGCAGTGTGGGAGAGAGCATGAAGGAGGGCAGAGACCGAGAGGACAGACAGTGGGCGGGACGCACGGGCAGGCTGTCCCGGGGGGCGGGGCGCATGCTTCTAAGCAGGCTCTGGGGATGAGCGGGGAGCCCAGCTCACCCTGAGAATCTCCCTGCAGATGTAAGCAATGCAGTCCTCCTTGAGCGCGTTCCCTTTCGTGTTCTTCACCAGGTCGGTTACAGAGCCAGCACCACAGAACTCCATCACCAGCTGGGTCCAGAGAAAGAACAGGACAGAAAAATGTGTCAGGCAAGGCCTCTGCCTGACCAGGCACCTGGGGACTAGAACTGGTGTGAGTCAGAGCGCAGGGCCGGATGACCCCTGAAAGCCACAGGACTTCCCCGAGGAATCCCTGCCAGCACAGTGACGAAGGTTGTCATTTTCCTTGCAGTGTCCAGTGCTTTAATCACCTTCTCCCTAGAATCTTAAACTGGTTCAGAACGCCGGCTCTGGAGCAGGCTGCACAGGCACAAGGTGCCGAAGCAGGCTGTTCTATTGTGTGCCGGTGTCTTTTGGTTGTTCTCCAGGCTTTTCGGGTGTGTTTTGAGACAGGGTCTCACCATATAGCTCTAGCTAGAAACACAGACAAGGCTGGCCTCGAACTCAGAGCTCTGCCTGCCTCTGTCTCCCGAGCGCTTGGACTAAAGCTGTGCGCCACCACCACCACCCAGCTCCTGTAAGCTGTTCTCTATGTGTACGCGGAGCACGGGGACTGGACTCGGGGGCCAGGCGAGCACCTACCGGGGAGCTACACCCAGGCTGAATCAATGGATCATTAGCACCCCACAGTGTGTGTGTGTGTGTGTGTGTGTGTGTGTGTGTGTGTGTGTGTGTGATGAGACAGAGAGAGAGACAGAGAACTTAAGTAGCCGATGCAGGGAGCGTCAGAGATCTGCCCGTCTCTGCCTCGCATCTCGGCATCACTGGATAAAGCATCCACAGCTGGCTGCTCATGTGTGCTCTTAGGACCCAAACTCATGTCCTCCCACTTGAAGGCAAGTGCTCTACCTAGGAGTGTCTCCTCAGCCGGCCGCACTATGTTCAATGATTAGAAACAACAACAACAAAAACACTAAAAAAAAAGCACTTAACGAATGAGAATATGGGATTTTAGTCCATCAATATAAATCTGAGGATTCAGGCACTCATTTGGGTGTGCTGAGTGAGGGTCTTCCTATGTATGCCAGAGCAGCCTCAAACATACGACCTCCCCCCTCAGCCCCGCGTGCCGGGCGGTGTGAGCCACTGCCCTCTGCTGGCCGTGCCGCGCTGTGCCTGTGCTCACTCTTGCTTTCAGAGTGTCAGCAGAAGCGTGCAGTGGCAAGGAGGGGCTGAGTCTAGGGAAGTTCATGGGGTCCCATCAGTGTGCTGCCGGAGAGCACGTGGGAGCAATTCCTTCCAACTGTTCTCACTAGCGTGGAGCCTACTTAGCACAGGCTGGTCGGGACGGGTGTCTGTGCTGTGCAGTACAGTCATCTGCACGTGTCCCACACAGGGCAGCGGAGGGCAGCGGGTGGAGAGAGGCCGGCGCCCATCCGTTAACCAGAGCGTGTGGCCGCTGCCACCTGACAGCCAGCCCTCAGTGGTCTTCCCCTGCACACCATGGGACACAGCATGTGTCCCCCCAAATCCTTGGGGCCACCAAGGCTGCGGCCGTGTCTCGTGCTCATCTCTGCAGGTATACAGAAAAAACGAAAGTCTAGCGGACTCAGGGGCTGAGACCTGCCCAATCAACACTGGGCCTACAAGACCGAAACAGCGCCCGTGTGAGTCCACATGAAGGCTGTCCGACGACACAACACACACTGCTCTTGAGCTCCACAGAGCGGCCTAGCGCAGAGGAACCTGGGAGGGCAGGAAGGGTGTGCCTCACCCACAGCTGGTCGTCGTTCCCAGGAGGACTCTTCTTGATGAAGGCCCCGTAGTAGGTGGCTATGTTACGGTGGTGAGAGTACTTCTTCAACATGTTGATTTCCTGTTTGATCTCTTCCTCTTCATCCTAGGAAAACAAGGGTGTAAGGCCTGAGATCCCACAGACCCTTCTGAGGCCAGCCCCTCCCTTCCCAGCTCCATGTCCTACCTCTGTGACATCCATGACCTTAATGGCAGCCAGCTGCCCAGTCTTGACGTGCCGACCCTACAAGATAGCCAAGCACGGGGGTGTGGAAAGGTCAGGGTGTACGCTCACTCAGAAAAACAACCAAGAGGAAGTGGTTCTGGGAAAAGTCCTGTGTTCAGTGTTTTCTGCCTTAGACTGGGTCCTTCATTCGGCTAGCTGCCTGGCTTTACAAAGCAGAAGGCGGAAGCAGGTTCCTGAGCCCTCACAGCTAGTGTAAAACTGCCCAGGCTAGGTGAGAAGTTCCACCAAGGAAGGCTCTCCTACACAGCCCTGAGCTGTAGGATAGATGCACCATTCAGTTCCGGCCTCCTGGGGGGGGGGGGGTATGCTCCAGACAGAACCCCAATGAAGGCTGGAAAGGGGATAACCTTCCCCTTCCCCTATGGAAGCTAAGACGTCCGCTGCTTTCCTGGCCCAGCACTCCAGACAGGAGGCTTTCCTGGGGTCAACCTCATGCCTATCAACCGAGCTTGGGAAACTCCGGCAGCTGAGGAGGACCACAGCTTCTCTACCCACCCCAACCCCCACCCCGCCAAGAACCTCTGTTAAGAACCATCAGCACTTGGACAAGAAGGTCCCTGGCTTCCTGAAAAGGGCTGGGCATGGGAAGGACACGGGCACTGCCACGCTGGAGTCGTGCCTCTGGCAGCCACTGTGACCCCAAGCACGGAAAAGCAGGGCCACCTCTACAGACAGGGCTCAGCCGGCGCTGCACACTGTGCTCCCAAAGCTCACGCATACGAAGGGAAAGGGGTAGGTGAAAGGCGGGCAGTCCCCATGACCAGGAGACCCCGAGGCAGGGGCAGCTGTGGAGACGCCAGGGGCTGTGCCCTGAGCCAAGGAAGCAGAACCCACTCTAAACAACCCCCTCGATGATGTGGCCTTCCTGTGTGGAGGGCGGTCTGGCCGGCTGAACTGCTGGTCAGGGGCAGAGGAAATGCCTCTCTGCTCAGGCCAGCTCTCTGCTGTGGGCAGCTGTGGCGGAGGTCGGGAAGGCCACTTCCTCTCTGCAGGCCACCAGGACGTCCCACCAACCCCAAGCCTCCTTGCAGGCTTGGCAGGCGCCAACCCACACTTGTGGCATGATCTGTGAATTTCCAGGACAGCCCTGACCACTGTGTGCTCTTCCTGCTCCCATCCACAAGCGGCAGTTGCAGGCCAGCTCCCGCCGCACCCGGAGCAGTCTCCCTTCTCTCTCTTGCCGGCAGCGTCCCTCAGATCGCCAGGCCGGGACCCACCTTCCTCCCGGCCTCTAAAGACCCCGCAGGCTGAGGGCTGTACTTCTGTCACGTCTCACCTTGTACACCTGTCCGTAGGTTCCATTGCCAACCACCTCCACCAGCTCAAAGATTCCCGCAGGGTCCTGCGAGGAGAAGAAAGAACAAGGACTGTCACTTGGACAGGGCTGTGATGCCGAGGGGAAGCAGGTGGCAGCCAGGAAGGCCATCCCTTCGCAGACTGTGGAGACCCTGGCGGCTAGATGCCTTTGCCCTGGATCACTCAGTTACTATCCCGACAGTTCAGCTCCGTGGAGTCCCAGCCAGCTGTATGGACCTGGGTTCCCAGTGTGAGCAAGGGGTCCAACAGCACACCCCTGGCTGCCTAAACTTTCAGTGAGGTAGCGCCCACAAAGCACCGAGACTCAGGCTGCCAACAGGAGTTCATTGCTATCATTAGAACTTTAGTGGCAGAGATGGGGGGATGGAGAATGAGCATAGGCTGCTCTTTCAAAGGCCAGGGTTCAATTCCCAGCACCTACACACCAGCTCACAAATGTCTGTGACTCCAGTTCCACGGGATCCAGTAACCTAACCCTCACACAGACACACACGCAGGCAAACCACCACACATGAAAAAGAAACAAGTTGAAGGCAGGGACAAACCACGTTACCAGGGCACAGCAGGCCTCCCCTCCCTTGTCCTCTTAAAGCAAGGGCCTCTCACTGACGCAATGAACTCTGCCCTTCCTCCTCTCCTGAGCCACGCAGTGCCAGGAGACAGCCCACAGGCCAAACGAAGCTTCCAAAAGTGCCCTCCTGCCGCCGGCTCAGAGCAGGCAGCCAGGGCCCGCAGGCACACCTGCCACCCTACCCTAAGGCCACCCACAGCCCCCTGGCAGGACGGCTCCCTACCCTGCAGAGGGCAGGCCGGCCCCAACCCCTGCCGAGGGCAAGCGAGGGGGCAGCGCTGTGGTGCCCGCTCCGCAGGCGCCGTGTGACGTGTCTGTGCCGACCACCCCAGTGGTGTACAACCTCAGATTCCCTCTCCAATTTTCAGAACCAACACAGGAGTTCTGAAACCCACTTCCCAAAGGAGCCTACAAGGGTCTGGGCCTGACAGACCACGAGACCAGCGCTTTCCAGGGCCGTGTGTGCTGCTCTTTTTCCATTTTCTTGGGGGGGGGGGGGGGCAAGCTGGGAAACTCCCTGAGGAAGGCCGAGCTCACATGCTCTCCACACCTGCCAGATCTCAACAGGCCCAGCACTCAGCCTGCATCCTCGGCTCCAGCTCCCCGAGACCATCTCCCTGTGACGGGGGTGTCTGCTCCTGAGCCTGGATTACAGAGCTCTCGTTCGCAGGCCACTACTGTGTCGTTACAAAAGTTTGTGACTGAGGCTGTACACACTCCGTGATGTGTGCATGAGGTGCAGTGTGGAGGCCAGAGACTCCAGACCAGCTGCCTCGCCTCCCGCTCGCCTGTCTCGGCTCTTCTTCGCCGAGCACGGCAGATTAAGTGACTTGCTTCAGCGAGTGTGGGACAGGGCGACTCGCCGGGCCTCGCATCCTGGACAGCAGAGCTCACCATCGGGCCTGGCGGCAGCACCCTCACCTGAGAAGCCGCATCACTAGCCCCTCACACTCCCGCCGCTGGCCACAGCCAGGTCAGAGGTCTGCCTGCCCCTGGACACACGTGTGGGCTCAGAACAGTTCCCGAGACCCTGCCGGGCCAGCAGCTCATCTTCAACTCGCCTTTCAAACTGGCTTTTCAGTCTCTTCTTGACCTCAACCTCAGCTCAGCAGAGGGAGACGGGAAGACTGCGGGCGTGATTTCTGACTCTCATGGCTGCTGAGGGCTGTGCCACCACAAGCTCAGCCCCCCCCCCCCAATTCCTAATGACCACCTGGCACAGGAGGTAAAACTTGAGGGTTTGGGGCTGGCTCAGGTGAGGACTGCAGGGGCATGCATGCCCTGCTGAGGAAAGGTGCTGTGGAGATGTCGGGACGCGTGGGCACACGGCTGTCAGGGAGTTAAGAACAGGGTCTGACAAAGACTCAGAGGCGTGAGGGCTGGTGACAAGCGTGAAGAGAGAAGTGCACAGGGACAGGAGGGCGGTGGCCCCAGGGGTGGTCCGGGGGAAGATAGTCGCCAGCACAGACGTAGGGCACTGCCGGACCCCAGTGGCCTCGGCCGCCAGCTTTGGGAAGTGCGCCGTGGGAGCGCAGAGCAGAGGGGCTGGAGGTCAGGGTAGGCCTGGGAGCAGAAGGGGGAGTCAGCAGTGAGAGCAGGGTCAGAGCGGGCACGGGAACTGAGTGGACAGCATGGACGTCTGTGTGCCGGGCCCTGCTGCCCCTGCAGTGCTCCTCAGGCAGGGTCCCACCTCTAGCTCCACTCCAGCTCAGGCGTGTGCGTGTGTGAAATTCCCATAAGCAAGCGGCCGCTCTCTGCTTGGCAGCACTGACATGCCCGGGTGTCCCGCCCTCCGCACCCGTGACTGACAACGCCTAAGAATCCAGGTTGGACAACATAGGCAGCCCTGCAAACGCTGTCAGTCCTTGGCGATGACCCTCTGAGGGGAAGCGTCTCCTCAGGCCCCCAGACAGCCCCCTAGCACTGCTCTGTGCACAGCACAGTGGCCGCCTGAGCCTCTTCCTCACAGTGCTTCTCTTGCCAGCTACCCGGGTGGAGAGGGCCTGAGGAGCAGGCAGGCAGGCCCTGAGGCTGGGAGGGTGCTTGGGCACGGCCTACACACACGTGGAAGGAGAGCACGTCCACCAAGCTGTACGCTGACATCCGCCACACAATTCATACCACACACACACACACACCAAACTCGTCATTTTAAAAGGAAAAGGGGGCTGAGAGACGGCTCAGTTACGAGCACTCGCTGCTTTCAGGGCTCAGCTGAGCTCAGGCCGCCACTCACATGGTGGCTCCCAACCATCTGAACTCCAGTTCCTGGAGGTCCAACGTCCTCTGTCCTCTGAGGGCTCCTGTCTGCAGGAGCACACAAAACTCATAGACGCACACACGCCCTTTTGAAAAAAATCAAAAGGAAGACGAGGGAGTGCACTCGTTCTCAGTGGCTCTGACGGCGACGGAGCTGGAGGAAAGCTGGTTCGGACCTACGTGACCCCCAGACGGACGACAGCCTCTACCACAGGCACCTGACGCAGGCCGGGCACGTGTGGGGCACACGTCTCCAGCCTCGGCTACTTGAGAGACCCAGACAGGCGAGTCAGACACCAGCCTGAGCAGCTCCCCCCAGATGAAACACCACGTGGACAGCACAAGCGCAGCTGGCACAGTGCAGGCGACACGCGCCAGGGCCCGGGCTGACCCCAGCGCGGTGCTGCACACCGGAATCCAACCACACTAGCAGTGCTGGCAAGAAGATGGTAGTTCAAGGTGCCCCTCAGCCACACAGTGAGTTTGGGCTGACTGGGACACGATCCATGGCCCTGTCTCTAAAGGGCAGGGCGCGCCGAGGAGACAGCCCAGTGCTCGCTGCAGTAAGCATCGCCGTAAATCGGCTATCCAGCGCCCACAAGAGACGGGCTTGCCAGCGCATGCCTTAGAGCCTGGGGAACGGAATCCCTGGAGCTGGCTGGCACTGGCTGGCCGGTCAGTGAGCCCGTGCTTGGGGACTGCATCAGAAAGCACGGTGGGGAGACGAGGCAACAAGTGTGATGTGAACCCTCCCACGGGCGGCTCGCTGGTTCACCCCGCCAGATCAGCGTCTCAGCCCTCGGCCGAGCAGCCGCTCTGGCAGATGCTGACTGACACGGAGACCCACAGTGGGCTTGCAGAGAGAAAGCAAGAGAGCGTGGACAGCTCAGTCTAAACTTCACACAGGGCACAGACAGGCACACAGCCCAGAGCTCCGGGGACAGGGCGGAGCTCAGGGACAAGGAAACTGGTTTCCAGTCATGGCAGGACAGTTACACATGTGAACTCACAGTCCCTGTGGCAGCAGGCACAAGACTTACACAAGCTTCAGCCAGACAGATGCCCGGCCTGGAGGGGGTTGGTGTGCACAAGCCTCCCGTCCCAGCCAAGGAGCTGGCCGGAGAGGGAGTCAGTTTTTTTTTAAGGTGTGGTCTTATTGAACAGCATAAATTAGATTTTGAAAAAAAAAATTGTTTGTTTGTTTGGTTTAGACAGGGTTTCTCTGTGTAGCCCTGGCCGTCCTTGAACTCACAGTGATCTGCCTGCCTCTGCCTCCCTGAGTGCTGGGATTACAGGCCTGCACTACCATGGCCAGCTTTGTTTTCTTAAAAAAGGAAACACACAGGAAGTTTCAGGACAGCCAGCACTATACAGAGAGATCCTGTCTCAAAAAGGTGTGTGTGTGTCTAGAGAAACGGCTCAGTTAAGAGCACTTCCTGCTCCTACGAAAAACCCAGGTTCCCAGGCCACACGTACTGGCTTACGACTGCAACTCCAGTCCCAGGGTGGCTGGTACCCTCCCCTCTCCCCTCCAAGGGCACCAGGCATGCAGTTAGTATACATATACACACACGGATGAAACTCCATCAACCAACAAGAACAAGCAGAAGCAGGGAGACAGGCGTGCATCTGGGAGGGGCTGAAGGTGAAGATCAAAATACACTGTAGGAAATTCCCCAAAAATTAAGCATTAAAAACAATTATTCCAGCTGGGTGGCAGTGGTGCACAACTCTAACCCCAGCACTGCGGAGGCAGAGGCAGGTGGATGTCTGTGAGTTCGAGGCCAGCCTGGTCTACAGAGGAGGCTACACAGAGAAACCCTGTCTCAAAAACCAAACACCAACCAAACCAACCAAATTCCTGATATACAGCTCAGCACGTAAGGACACATGTGCCTGCCACCAAGCCTTCCAACCTGCACTCAGTTCCTAGATGTACACAGTGGCACACACACGCCCAGACACACGAGTGTGTTTGGTAGTTTGGATGCAAACGGCCCCCACAGGCGCATACATCTGAATGTTTCACAAGTGGACTGTTCGGGAAGGAGCTGTCACTGGAATGGCTCTACAAGCCCATGCCAGGCCTCCCCTGGCTCTGCTGCGCCATGCTCCCTGCCATGATGCTCACGACCTTCTGAGACTGTGAGCAAGGCCACAGCTCACACTCTTCCTTCCACAAGTGGCTCTGGTCT